TTTGGCAATTCAACATTCATTCATGATAAAAACCCTTAGCAAACTAGGAATAGAAGGAAAGTTTTTCAATCTGATTAAGGGGCAGTAATAAAAACATATAATTAACATCACGCTCATAATAAGAGACTCAGTACCTTCCTTGTAAGATTGAAAAAAAAGACAGGGTTATCAGTCCCTAATACTCCTATTCAGCATTGTTATTAGAGGTCATAGCCTCCAACCTAAGGCACGAGGGGAGAAAAAGAGAAGTAAAGCTGTTTCTATTCACAGATGAACAACTTCGCTTGGAGAAAACATTAAGTAACCTAATAAAAAGCTACTAGAATTAATATGCAAATTTAGCAAGCTTGCAGAATACAATATGTATTTATAAAAACCACTGTACTTCAAACAGAAATACTAGCACTGAACAACTGGTATTGTTAAAATATTTCACCAATTTTGTAGGAGAAAACTGGCATTGTACTATTTGCATTTTTTAACAATAGTTAAGCCATTTTCCATATATTTATTGATCATTTGTATTTTTTTTGTGAATTGCCTATTTATGTTTTTTTTTTTAATCCTCACCCGAGGACATTTTTGCATTCATCTTCAGACAGAGCGGGAGGGAGAGAGGGAGGAAGAGAGAGAGAGAAACATCGATGTGAGAGAGACACATGGACTGGTTGCCACCCACATGACCTTAACTGGGCTGGGGACAAAGTGCAACCGAGGTACGTGTCCTTAGCAGGAACCGAACCCGGACTCTCCAGTCCGCGGGCTGACACTCTCACCGCTGAGATAAACCGGCCAGGGCCCTATTTATGTTTTTAAATTTTTTCATTCCCCATACAAATCTTACCAAATGACTAGACAGACCTGACATGAGGAACAACTTTTATATTTTTAAGTGCACATATACGGTTATCTCCCTCCACACACACAACCTCATGATAAGCTCAGATACCTTCTTCTTATTCCTACCAACTCCCACCAGTCTCCCACTGAAGAGGGCCAACCAGAGGGGGATATTATGATGATGTGTGCAGAAAAAATTCCATCTGGGCTCTCTCCTTGGCAGAAGTGGGGAATTCGTCATGTTAAAACACCAGTTGGAAAGAGATTAACCAAAGGATTTATATACATTTATGCATAGCCAATGAACACAGACAGTAGTGTGGTGAAGATCTGGGGTGGGGCAGGGGCTGGGAGGAGTGGGGCAAAGGGGCGGGGAATTGGGGGATATCTGTAATACTGTCAACAATAAAAATTAAAAAAATAAATAAAAACACAAGTCAGCATTGCTATTTGAAGTAGGGGTTCAGAGGTTTTGGAGCTGGGTATCACTTAATGAACTCCCAGTACCAGAGCCTATGAAATTATTTGAATAAAGAGATCACTGTCATTAATTTAAGTCAGATGGCATTCAACTACTTCCTAAGTTGAGCTTCATTTGGTCAGTGAAGGGCTGCGGAAAGTTACTAAGGGCAGCAGCAATGTCTGCATGGACAAGTAGCAAGTCAAGGCAACACAGCTTGGGAGACCACCCGTGTTGCAAACAACTTTCTCACCAATTGTAATTTGCCTTTTAATAAAAATTTAATTTTTTTAATGATGTTTGACAGAAATTTTATCTTGCATGTAATCCAAGTTTTTCATTTTTACCTTTGGATTCCTTCAACTCCTTTTAGATTTAGATTAATTCTTTTTATTTCAATTTTTTTTTTAAAGTAGGCATTTTACAGATAACCCCTTGATCCATCTGAAATATATTTTGGAGTATGGTATCAGGGAAGAACAACAGTGATGTTTCTCCCAAATAGCCAATTATCTCAGCATCATTTATCCAATGATTTAAAAATAAATGTAAAAACCTGTCTTTTGAAGTAACTTTAGACTCATTAGAAATTGCTCTGGTATACAGTTAACTCAGCTTGCCCTGCTTGATTCACCAACTGAACTGGATTTACTTGGACATCTCAAGACTTCCTTGTTACCTACGAAAGTATAGTTGTGTCTGTAATTTATAATACTTAAGCTTGAAACATTGGTGACAGAAGTCATAACATAGGGTAAAAGGCTATGTAGGCCTTTCATTATGAGGATGAAATTTGAACTTAACATTAGAGTTGCTGACTTGATCAGGAAATCTCTAATTTCAATAGCTTTTCTTAGACCACCTCTATTACAGATACGGTACAAATGCACAGCCAATGCTTATAGAGATAAATTTAAAAGACCTAAATAGAGATATCATATTTATATATTGGAAAGCTCAATATTAAAGTGTCAAATTCTCCTGGCCAGTGTGGTTGAGTGTTGACCTATGCACCAAGAGGTCGCTGGTTAGAATCCTGGTTGGGCACATGCTCAGGTTGTGGGTCCAATTCTCAGTGTGGGGCATGCAGGAGGCGGCCAATCAATGTTCTCTCTCATCGATGTTTCTCTCTCTCCCTTCCTTTCTCCCCAAAATCAATAAAGAAAAAATATTTTAAAAATAAATAAAAAGCGTCACATTTCTTCAAATTAACGCATAGTTATAATGCAAAACCAATTAATATCCCAATTTTGGGGAAAATTGACAATTCTGAAATCTATATGAAGATGCAAAGGGCCTAAAGTAGCCCAAAATGACTTTGAATAAACAAAGCTGGAAGATTTATGCAACCTGATTTAAAGACTACAGTACAGATCATGAAACAAAATTGTTTTGGCTCTTCTGGGTTTTTGCACTTCAAAATTTAGAAGACTGATAATTAAATATGTAAAGCAACCAGAATTCTCATACATTGTTGGTGGAAATATGAAATGGTAAAGCAGTCTGGGTATTTCTAATAAAGTTAAACATATACTTACTATGTGACTCGTCAAATCTCTTAAGTATTTACTCAAGAGGAATGAAAACATGTTCGCACTAAGATTTATACACAAATGTTGATAGCAGCTTTATTCATAATACCAAAAGCTGAAAACAACCCAGATGTCTGTCCATTTAAATAAACTGTAGTATATTCATACAATGGAATACTATTCAGTGATAAAAGAAACCCACTACTGACACATGCAACAAAATGAATGGACTGCAAGCACATTATGCTAAGTGAAAGAAGTCAGACACAACAGTATGATTCTATTTACATGAAATTCTAGAACAGTCAAAACTAACTTGTTGAGACAAAGAGCTCAGGGTGAGCTAGGATTGGGGGGATTGATTACAAATGGGCATGAGGGATTTTTTCAGATGACAGAAATGTTCTATATTTTTATTGGGGTGATGATTGTACAGTAGTAGCTATTTGTTAAAACCTATGTAACTGTACACTTAAAATTGGTTCATTTTATTATATGTAAATTTTTATCAAAGTTAATTTTAAAACCTTCAATGAATTCCTATAGGCATTAGGATAAATCTGAAAGCAAACAGGTCCCGTAACATCTATCTCCTACTTATCTCTCCAGCTTTATCATGAGCCATTCTCTGCCTCATTCTCTACCCCAGCCATGTTGGGCTTCTGTTACTCAAGAGAAAACATTATGCTCTTGATCTTTTTTTTTTTTTTTGGTACATGTCCCTAGCAGAACCGAAACCCGGGACTCTCTTGACGCTCCAACCACTGAGCCAAACCAGCCAGGGCGAATATGCTCTTGATCTTAGTAGTTCCTCTTTCCTACATGCTCCCTGTTCCCTGGACTGTTATTCATTCCTTAGTTCTTCCTTAAGAAAGCCATCCTCAAAATCTTACTAGGATAAGACCCCTGGTATGTGCTTCACAGGAACCATTATTTTTTCACTACACTTTATATAATAATACAATAATAACTTGCTGCATTATAGATAATCATGTATAATTTGTTTTACTCCTCTAGAAACTCCATAAAGCTAGGGATACCTATTTTATTTACCACTCTTCTCCCAGTAACAAATATATAGAAAATCCTCTATATAGAAAATATTTGATGACAAACCAAGAAAATTAAAAAAAAAACAAACATTTAAGCCGGGCTGTTGTGGCTTAGTGGATTGAGCGCTGGCCCATGGACTGAGAAGTACCACTTCAATTCCTGTCAGAGCACATGCCCAGGGTTGTGGGCTGGATCCCCAGTAGGGGCCATGCAGGAGGCAGCCTATTGATGTTTCTCTCTCATATAGATGTTTCTGTCTCTCAATACCTTCCTCTCTCTCTCTAAAAAAGAAAACAAACAAAGAATAAAAACATATTTTAAAAAATTAATAAAATAAAAATCTAAAAATTTTAAATAAAATATGAGTATATTGAATTTAGCAATGTATTAAAAAATGATACATGATGTTTAGGACTTATTTTAGAAATAAAGCTATTTTAGTATTTGAAAGTATACTATATAATTGTTACATTAATATATCAAAAGAGATAAATTATCTTCAGAGATGGGAAAAGGAATTAGATGAAATTTCAAAAACCTCCCAACTTAAAAAATACTTCTTAGTGAACTAGAAAAAGGGTATATGCAACAGTGTAACTCTAGACTCAAGGATACCCTTTATCATCGCTAGCATGCAAAATTATTCTAGAAACATTAGCCAATGCAATAAGGCAAGGAAAAAAAGTCAGAAAATGACACAGTTATATGTAGATTATGACTTTCTATCTGAAAAACACAATATCATTAACTGAAAAACTTTAGTATGCAAGTTCAGTAAGGTGGCCAGTTACAAAATACATGAATACATATTATAAAAGCAATGTATTTAAAATAATACTGGCATAAGAATAGGCAGATCAATGGAATAGATTAGAAAGTGTAAAAAGAGCCTTAAATTTTTCCCCATAAAAATTACTATGAAACTGACTTTTGGAGAAGTATGGATTATTTAATTATATTGGGACATTATGGACAAATAGATTCTAATATGCCACCATACATTTAAATAATATTTCATTTTATATCTTTTCTTAAGGGGAGATAGTGATTGTTTTCTTTTCTGTGGTTTCCATTTTGCCCAAGCACTACACTCTATACCCCCAAGCAGGTCTTACCGGCATGGTGATCTGGATGGGTTGTCGTTCTCCACTCTTGGTTGGGGCCACACCTTCTGTATCATATGTGCCTGTATAAACAACTCTGTCCCCATCAGGCTCTTTCGACTTCAGTTCCAGTGGGACAACCACGCCACCAATGGAAATGTTCCTGCAATGAACTTGAGTTGAGCACATATGATAGGAATTAGCTTAGGTACCCTCCTTTCCTGGTCTTTACTACAACCTTAGGCAGGAACCCTACGGGGTGTGGCTAAAAGAGACATTATGATGTGGTAGAAAGTTCTGAAAGTTCAAGAAGCTTGAGTTCTCCAACTAACCAGTCATGTGACCTTAGACCAACTACTTAATCTCTCTGGACTGACAGTACTCTCATCTACTGTATCAGTGGTCCTCCTCTTTAGTTTCTTGTGTGTGTGTGTGTGTGTGTGTGTGTGTGTGTGTGTAGCTATTAAAAACTTACCTATATCCAGCCCCATTCCAAATTCCAGAGAAGGATTCAATTGGTCTGGGGTGTGGTTTGGGCACTGGTAAATTTTTTAAAGATTCTCTAGGTGATTCTAATGTGTAGGTAAGGTTGAGAACCACTAAACTAGTTCTCTAATGATTTTTTCTGTTCCAACAACCAGTGGTCCCGTGAGTTGGGTATTCTTCCTCAAGCCAGCCACACCACCAGAAATTCTCACAGGCATCATTTTTTTGTTAGGGTAATTGTTCTCAAAGAGTACGCCTGAACTAGCAATATCAGCATCACTCGTCAACCTATTAGAAAGCAAATTATTAAGCCTCACTCTAGGGTGGGGCTCAACCATCTGTGTTTTAACAAGCCCTCTAGGTGATTCTGATGTACACTCAAGTTCAAGAACCACTGGGTTAGGGCACTGAAATCCCCTTGATAAAATTAAAGTGTAACTAGAAAAAATATTTTTGTCATTAATCCAAACTCATTTGTAGATTAGCTTGAAAAATAGAGAACCACCCTTAAGAAAATGGCATATAGAACAGATAACTTGAGAGAAGAGGTTGCCTGGAGAGAAGGGAAAGAAAAAGTCTGGATCACATGGAGATGTACAAAACATTGGGAAATGTGAGAGTAATGGATCTGTAGAACTATGGGTGATGCTGACTAACAGATGGACCAGGGGCACCAGAACAAAACCCAGGTTTAGTCCTAGGTCCTTGAATTAGGGCCTGCCATCTAGAAGGCCAATACAAGTTTATTAAATTAATGACTATGGATGGACACTTAAGCTGTAAAAGATGTCTGGTTAGATTCAAAGCACTCCCCCACCCTACCACCCCCAACTCAGTATATGATATAAATGCTGGTTATTTCCTCCTTCCATGCTAGACTTCACATCATGCTTAGGTGGAGGCCGAGAGGTAAAGGACTCCACCCCTGGATACTTCCCCAAAAGCTTTGAACCCTCCCACATTGCCTTTCCAGCTCGAGGTCTACAAGGTGCATCAACTGTGGTAGCAGGAAAGAGATAATCCCTGCCACAAATAAACTAAAACAAACAAACAAAAACAAACAAACCCAACAAAAAACAAAAAACACCAAAAAAAAGAAAAAACAAACAAACAAACAAAAAACCCAAACCCGTCTTTTTGTTGTAAGGATGTTGCTAATCCCAGGAACCATCACCTGAGTTGAACAGACAACTCAGGAGAAAAAGAAAAACACCAGGCACAGAAAACCATCAAACTAGGCCAAGCGGAGGAGACTGCAGCTCCTCCAGCCCCGGGGTCCGCAGCCACCTAAGTGCAGATGGAGGAGTGGGGAGCGTCCTCAGACAGCTACAATAACCACCCCAGCCCCGCTTTTACACATCATTCCTCAGAATTTCTCCCTCCTCGAGCTCCGGGGCAGACCGAGGCGGGACGCCACGACCCGGGAGAAGAGGACCAGGACTGCGGAAGGCGAACCCCGTGGCGAGCTGCTCCCATTCGCAGCACCCCGGCCGCCCGAGGGTCCCCGAGTATGGCTGGACAGAAGGATGAGAAATTTACAGGTAAAAAACAAACAAACAAACAAAACCCTAAACCCCTGGATTCCTGTAGCTGTTTTAAACATCCCACCTCTCGATGGGTGGGGGAAGCCAAAATAGAGGAAAGACACGCGTCAAGCAGAGGAGAAGACCAAGGGGAAAAGGGACTTCTGACCCCACCTCCGGATCCCGCTGGGTGCGGCGCGAGCCAAGAGGGGCCGGGGAGGCTGAGGCGTCCCGGGGGCCTCGGTCCTCTGCACGTACCCCAAGGGGGCCGGGCACCCGCCGCGCGCACCCGCACTCACTCGACCTGCAGCGTGTTGGGCTTAATCTTCACCTCCACCTTGTAGGAGGAGCCGGTGAGCAGCTTAATGGTGCGGTTCTGGCCGAAGCGCTGCCCGTCCACCTTGAAGAAGACCGGGCCATCATTGGGCTGGATGCGCAGCGCGATGGAGAGGCGCACCAGGCCGGGCAGGTCCCCCATGGCTGGGCGCAGGCGGGCCGCGGCGGCTCCGGGGGGAGGAGGACAGCGCGGGCTGAGACCGAGCCGCGGAGCGCGGTGGGCGGAGAGGAAGCGCAAGTAGGCAGGGGGAGGCGGAGGGGCGGATGCCGTTAGTAGCCCGCACCGTCTCGGCAGTCCGCACGGGATTTTGAAGAGCAGCCCCTGAGGCTGTGGCCTCCCGCCCCACTCCGCCAGGAAGCGTGCCTCAGGGACAGCTGCGAGGCCCCGAGCCTCCCCATCCCCCTGCTCCTCGCGCTGCGCCCTCGGCGCAACCGTGGGCTCGCTCCAGCCTGCCAGCCGCCGGTAGGTCAGCGCAGCTGGGAGCGAGAGAGTTAAAGCTGTTTACGCACCACAATCCCCTGCAGCTAGGGGCGAGGAGAATATTTAGGCTCCTCCTAGAGCCGCGCGGTTTGGTCGAGGGAGAGGATTGGGAGGAAGGGAGTAGATACTGGGGTTCAGCGACACTGCATTAAGAAGCTCTCGAGACCTCGGAATCTGGATGCGTCTTAGGTCAGCAAAGGGTTGTGGACACCACTGATTGCGGATGTGGCTCCCGGCAGGCAGGAGTAGGCTGAGTGGCGAAAGGGAGACTGGAAGCGAGCGGGGCAGGAAACCGCTAGCCAGCGATTTAGATTTCAGGAAACAGGAGTCTTTCCAAAGCTTAGAGGAAGTGGCTGAGGGAAGGCGCAATTCATTCTAATGTGGACTTCAAACTACACTGAATTGAGAACGTGTGCAAGAACAAGGGCAAGAAAAAGAAAAAGAAAATAAGCAATACTCAAGGAGCTACACGTTCTGTGGTTGTGTATTTTAATTATGCATATCCCTGTCTCAAGAATGACACTGTGTAATGAATCACACACATATATTTACAGATCCTGATGGATGAGCTATTAACCCTGTTAATAGGGGATCCTCAATAAAAGATTATTGGCAGAGCACTTGGTCGGACACTGCAGAGTTTAGATTTGCATATCAAGGCGGAAGTCGGTTGACAGACCCGGATTTTGACAGCAAGGAGAGACCAAGAGTATTAGAGCTCTACTGGGAATGGCTTCAGATAGCGAAGAGTAAGCTTCTGCTTCAGCACCACCTAGGTGGATAGTACCGGGGCCGGTGAACACACCTGGGGAATAGAGAAGCGGTTAGTAAGGAGGAGGGGCAGGAACCAGTCTGTTTGGTATTATTTGTTCACCCAGGTTGGTACTGCTTTTCTCTAGAAATAACATTATTTGGAAAGTGATTATTTCCTACATTATTCCAGAAAAATAAGTTAACTTTAACTCTCATTCCAGAAGTTTGTTTGCAATATTCCCTACACTATTCTGAATGGTATTCAATTCTGTAGCGCTGCAGAATTTTGTGTGATTGCTTCTCTAACATTGAGCAGGTTTGCTAATCACACCAAAGTTGCTTATATAATGTGTTTTGGTTCTTCAATAAGACTTTGCTTCTTCAGATCACCAAATAATATCTATTATAGTGTCTTCTGCAAAGGAACCCTTCAAGTATTTGCTAATTTAACCAAGTTGTTCCCTCTTGAAAGGAGGCAGCCAGACTGGAGGGAATGTCTTGAAAGCGTTCCTGGCAGCAGAAGCAGTCTGAGTGGTTGTTCTACCCAGAAGCACTACAATCAGACTTGTTCAAAATCCACTCTACCACTTCCCCTGTTCTGTGACCTTTCATCCCCCCCCCCAATTTTTATTAATTTATTTTTGTTATAGATGTTTCTCCTCCCCCCCCCCAGACACCCTCCTCCCCAGGGTTTCATTACTTCTTAGAAACAGTTTTCTCATCTGTAAAATGGGTCAGGGAAGCAGATGCTTTCTCTCTGATAGAGCTGTGGTAAAGAACAAATGAGAGATGCATATTTCAGTGCCTGGCTCTAATATTAGCAATTATTAATTTGAAACACAAATATCAGTAGAGATGTAGAAGGATGCTCAACCATCCCTAGGAGAAGAGCCAGAGGAATACAAATTAATAGTAATATCAAAACTATTTTGGCTTATTAGCTTGGCAAAAATTTTCACTATATTTATAATTAGTTTTATTATAAAGGATTCAAATTAGGAGGACCAGCTAAATGAAGACACACATAGGGCAAGGTCTGGGAGGAAACACAGAGTTGGCAAATATTTTAAAGACTTAAAATTCAGTGTTGGCAAGATGTAGGAAAATCAGTACTGTTATAAGTTACTAGAAAAATATAACTGCTACAGTCTTGTATTAGAAGTAATCTGAGGAATTTATTAAAAGTTTAAAATTATATATATGTATATAAACATATGTATTCTTTGAGTCAATGATTCTACTTTTAAAAATCTACCCTTCAGAAGAAATAAAGGCATCATTACCCTGGATATGTGTAATATGGGTGTTTATTGCAACGTTGATTATAAAAATGAAAACAAAGCATAAACTGGATGTCAAAAATAAATAAATGGCTGAATAAGTTCTTATATGGCCATACTATAGAATTTATGCCACTTGTTAAAATAATAAATTGTATGGCATATCAGCAAACACATATGCTAAAACTGTTAATGATAAAAGTGGTTGTGGCTACATTGTGGTAAACTGTGGAAGCCCAACAACAGGCATTTTTGTCTGTTTTGTTCATTGGTGTATCCCCAGCCTGGTATATGGTAGTACTCCACAAATATTTGTTAAATTGAATTCCTGTCCTTGTTTTAAATACATTCATATAAACGTTCTTCCATACCTTGAAAAGTAATTAGTTAGGTCAATATGATTTTTCTGGAATAATGTAAAGAGAAAAAAATATAATTGTAAAGAATATCTACAGTATGATGGTATTTAAAAACACTTAAAAATTTAAAACCATGTAAATTTGTATGTATTTTTATTAACAATTTTTAAAAACATTAGAGATACACAGAAAACAATGGTTATTCTGGTAGATGGGGACTAGAAAGAAGATGATACTCTTTTGGAATTATTGTAAAGTCTTTTTGGAAATTTTACTTTTTTCTCAGCTTTTTGTTTAGCAGTCCCACCGTCTCAAACCAACTTCTACCTGTGAATTGAAGAAAGTGTTGGACACGGAGTAGGAAGACTTCAGTTTGAAGTATGGCTCAGCTACTAATTTTTTTTTTTTTTAATGTAAAGCACTTAAAATCTTTGCATTTTAGTTTTCATTATTATAAAATGGGAATTAAAACACTTCCTTCCCAATATTGTGAGAATTAAAGGAAGAAATGAAAGTGTTTAAAAAATTGCTTTTCAGATATGAGGTGTTACTAATGCTAGGCAACATGTATTAGAAACAACATTTTCAGAAACAAAATGGAACTCTTAAAATGAAGTTTTAATAAATGTAAAAGTAACTGGACAATTTCTCATCAGTGATACAGAAATGCAACAAATCTGTATATGGAGTCTAATGGATCTGTATTTATTTATTTGTTTGTTTGTTTGTTTGTTTGTTTATTTATTTTTATCCTCACCCGAGGACATTTTCCCTTTTTTTTTTTTTGTACAGATAGAGTGGAAGGGAGAGAGAGGAAGAGAGAGAGAGGGAAACATCGACGTGAAAGGGACACATCGAGTGGCTGCCACCCACACGACCAACCAGGGCCGGGGACAAACTGCAACCGAGGTAAGTACCCTTAGCGGGAACCGAACCCGGGTCTCTCCGGACCGCAGGCCGACGCTCTAACCGCTGAGCCAAAACGGCCAGGGCTGGATCTGTATTTATATCCCAACGCTGCTGAGTACAAACTGGGTGACCTTGAACAAGCCACACTACTTAGTCTTTCAGGGCCCCAGTGTTTTCATTCTTAAAATGATAATGGGAACATATTTACTGCTCATAGAACCAAATGAGATTACACAAAACACACAGGAGTATTAGTCACATATAAGCTCAATATTCTGTGCATTTGAAAATATACTCAATATATTTTTTAAGATGTCTAGTGCTTTTACTTCAAACTGATGACCTTAAACATTGTCAACATGGCAAGTATTATTATCATTCTTTTGGAAATTGGTAAATTAAGCCCAAATGAATCGGCAGAAGAATTAGGCTAATAACATTCTATGTTCACTGCCCCAGTGTCTATGGTGAATGCACATTATAGACTTCAAAAAAGTAATCAGTGTAGCCCTGGCCGGTTTGGCTCAGCGGTTAGAGCGTCGGCCTGCGGTCCTGAGAGACCCGGGTTCGGTTCCCGCTAAGGGCATGTACCTCGGCTGCAGTTTGTCCCCGGCCCTGGTCGGTCGTGCGGGTGGCAGCCACTCGATGTGTCCCTTTCACATTGATGTTTCTCTCTCTCTCTCTATTCCTCTCTCTCCCTCCCGCTCTACCTGAACAAAAAATGGAGAAATGTCCTCCGGTGAGGATAAAAAAAAAAAAAAAAAAAAAAAAGTAATCAGTGTAATGACGTGGGACATTGTGCGTGCGTGTGCGTGTGTGTGTGTGTAAATACGGGGTGGGCAAAAGTAGGTTAAATACCAGCCATCATTACCTAAAAGATAAATCATAAGTAAGGATAAAAAAAAAATAATACAAATAAATAAAACAATAATAAATAAATAATAATACAGGAATAAACTTTCATGTACTCACAACTGTAAACCAGCTTTTGCCTACCTCTGTATATGTAAAATCCAAACCCAGCATACTTTACTTTCTTTTTCATTCACTCCATCCCATAGAAGCACTTTTTTATAGGAATTTTTAATGATCTCTTGAAAGTTTATTTTACATTTAGAATTCTTCAATCAATTAAGAAACAAATTGAATAAAGGAAGATAGAGCATCTGAGTATTTCTCAAGTCCTGACCCCACCTCTCTTCCCAGCACACACATATGAGCCCATATGCTCAGATGCCTCAGATAGCCTCAAACTGAAACAGAAGACACAATCCCTATTCTTCTCTAAATGTATATAAGTAAGGTATTTGTGGACATTATGGAATGTTCATGTTCTGAAATCACAAAATACAGTGAGACAATTTCCTGTTAATGAGGACTGGCCTGGCTCCAAGCTTGACTGGATCATGTGATTGGCTCCATTCTTTTCTTTCTTTTCCTGCCTTATGCTTTACAAAGTGTCATCTTAAATAATCACAGGACCTGTAATACTGATGAGTAAGAAGCCATAAACAGTGGAATGGATTGTGCATTATAAAGGAAAATCAAGTGACTGATTGAAAATCAAAGCAAAGTTCTCAAAGATAAAACTGTCACTTAAAGCACGGTGTACTGTCCCAAAACAAAAAGATACTGAAAAGTGTGCATGAGGGGAGATGGGG